ACGCTGGCGGTACATTGACGAACTTGCAAACATCTCACTTTTTTCTCGCGCCGTTCTCGCATTTTTGTGGGCGCGAGTTCGCACTTTGCTAGGCGCCAGATCGCATTTCTCTCGCAATTTGAAAATTCCCGAACTGCAAGATAAATGCGAGGTCGCGCCAAGAAAAATGCGAGATCGCGCCTAGAAAAAAGCGACATGTTTGCGAGTTTGTCAATGTACCGCCACCGACCTTGAGTTTATTTCAGCAGTTGTTCTTAGTGTAGAAATATTCAATTTAAATTGCAATTTTAAGATTATTATTTGAAATGTTTGAAATCTTATCAGTTTTTAATAATAGGTTGTGAAAAAAAACATGTCCTCACATGTTGGAGCGTTTCCCTATAATTTCTCAGAAACGTCCGGATTTCCCGTTACAGAGGTCCGATCGGAGACAGGGTTGTGCGAGGGCTCATCAGCCTAACGGCCTCAGTCATTCTCTAAGCCCGGACCGGCACGGGCTGAACGAGGTCCAAGCAAAAATAGGCCCGAATCAAACAGAAAAACTACGAATTTGAGAAATAAAGCGTTTTTCGGTGAGAAAGTTTGAGCTTTGGATACAAACATTTTTTTCAAAAATAAAAAGTTTGAAAATTTTTTTCTGAAGCTTGGCTTGTCCCTAGCCTGCGCGAGACTCTTTGCAAAAATTAGACCAGCCAGACGCACATGCTCGGACCTCGGTACCCCAAACCGTACGCTCCCCGGACGTTTCTGAGAATTTCTAATAACTCATTCAGCGGCTTCAGTCCTCTTGAATGTTCACTATAAATTCTTAGAAACGTCCGGGACGATTTCGATTTGCATTACAGAGGTCCGCGCAATCGAACCCCGGAGCAATAAAGCTTGCGCCGGCTCGGACAAAGCCAGGCTCCGTCCAAAAAAATTTAATCACAATTTTTTTCATCCAAACTTCAAATTTTTACCAAAAAAAATACTTTTCACTTGTTTCATCTATCAAAAGTTATGAAAGTGGACTGAGGCCGATAGGTTTACAATCTCGACCTCGCACAAACCTGCTTTGAACAAGTCTCAATTAGTTTTCAATAAACGATAATTTTATTATTTGTACTAGTGAGGAACGATTGCAGTCATTGTGTTTAATGTTACTTCTTTTCTCCTTTGCAATTCAACACAGAAAAAAACCCTCAGCTGCTTTTAAGAGCATTGGGCTGGTACCTGGTATTTTTCAGCCGGCGTCGCAGTCGGTCGAACTCCGTGCGGCATGGATCTAGGGATGTCGAATTTCCATGACCGATCAGAAGAAGTTTGGTGGAAGCTTTCTGCAATAATATCAAAATTTGAAAAAAAAGCAAGACGATTGAATTATTCGAATTGCAATGTTCTGACTGATTATCTATGTAAAGCCGTTAGTAAGTTAGGGAAGCTTTATCGAGTCAGAAGAACTAACTAGGCGGTGCGCTAGAGCTCCGCTCGGCCTTGTCAGAATTAAATATCCTAGACGCCGAAGGCCGTAACGGCTTTTTCCGCGGGGGTCCCATCATCGCTTTGTCAGCATCGCGCTGCCAACAGTTTATGCCTTGGCCACAGGAATGGGCTTCGGCGTGACATTGCGTATCCAATTTGCAAGCAAAAAGGATCGGCACTCCGGGAGTCCCGCGGGCCTAATCTACTAGCGCTTACAACTTATAAACTTATTTTGGGAATTAGAAATTTTATGGAAGTGAAAAACTCATCTTGACGCTGAATTCAGGAGCAAAAAGGAGTCGTGAAGCATCACGAAGTCATGACGGAAGCAGAAATGAGATTTGAACGAACAGAAATGACACGTTGCCACGTGGTTTTTTTTCACGTGTTAATTTTTTTGATATTAAGAAAATGACCTCCATGGGTTTCACGTAATGCAAAGAATGACATTTTTATCTTGAATAGAAACTTTGAGTCGAATGACGTGAAGGAAGATAATGGAGACACTAAAAAAACTTTGAAAAATTCAAAGTTTTTAGTCTTCGGACTTTCTATAGTTTTTTTTTTCCGCGTTTTTTTGTTTCTTTTTGCTCTCTTGTAGAAAAAAACAATTCGCGCAACTTACAGCCAATTGAACATTCTAATGCAGTTTGAAGTTTTTTTATAATAAAAATAATCTGAATTAAATTTTATTTCTCTATTTTTTTTTTTTTGATGGTTTTCGAACTGATTAAGCAATGCGCCTATAAATTTCCGCTTTTCTATCTTTTAATTGTTTTCTCTGATGCTAAGTTTTCAAGATGTATAGAATACTTATTTTTTTAAAAGTGTTCCTTCAACTTTTCTGATTTCAATATTTTTCATATTTGAAAATGCTCATTCGATGAGCTCATCAGAGGTAGTTTACCTATAATATTTTTATTGTGTAGTAAGTAATTTAGAGCCTCTTTTTATTTTTTTTTTTTTGCAAGCTAACTTTTTTCTGAGGATTTTGTATAAATATACTCTGAATTTTTCATTTTTAGAAGTTTTTGTAACCATCAATTCGCAACCGTCCGTTTCGGCTTCCGGCACCCTGGACCGAAAAAGAAGAGGCGCGAAAAAGTGGGCCGGAGAATGCTGCGCTGGACGAAGCAGGTTGGCACGTGCAAATGGCCGCCGCAAGGGGTCAAAAGAATGGCCAAGTTGTTTGCGGACAACCTGTGTTAAGCCAGCTAATCAGCGGACAAACGCGCACCGTTGAAAAAAGGGGGACAAAAAAGCCCCCGAAACAATGGCTATTTAACGAGGACGTCTGAGCTCGAAACCACCAGCATCCTTCCCAACATGCGCGTTTTGGCAATCCTTCTCCTTTTCGTCTTTCTTGTCCAGGTTTTATAGTGTGATTGATTCCAAATGATACATTTATTCTTGAAGGCTTTGCCGCGATCGAAACGGCAAACGTGTACTTGTCAGCCGGGAGAGGCGCCGAAATGTGGATGCCAGGTCTTTTTTTAAAATTTTCTGTCATATATTTATTGAATTTTAGTACGTGCAAGTTGCGGATAACCTGTCGAAAATGGTGTGCAGCTGTTCTTCGCCAACGCCTCCGAAATGCGTTTGTACTGAGCCGGTGAGTATTTTTTTCAATGTTTTGGTATTTTAATGATTTAGAATTTTTTTTATTCCTTCAATGTTCGTTTTGAATATTCGTTTCTTAAAATTATCAGCTCATTCAATTTATTTAATTTTTTCTTTACGGTGAAGCATAAAAGTCTCAGAACTCGGTTCAAATTGAATTTTTCTGCTTTTTTTAAAGAACTTTTTTTGAAAAATGGCCTATCAGGTTTTGGCTTTCGAGCATGAAATTTGATAAATTGGAATAAGAACTGTTTGAAGTTTTGAGTGAGACATTTTTGTTACATTCTTGTTTCAAATTTCTATTAAAGATTTTCTTTAAACTTCAAAAATCTTCACAAGAAACTTGAAAGTAAATTTCAAAAAAACGCTGTTTTAGCTTTTTGTTGAAAAACTTTTCCAATTAGTCAAGATTTTTTTTTACATGTTCCGTTTGGCTCTGCATAGCGCGACGTACAAACTTAAATTTTAAACATTTTTTTGAGCTTGATTTCATTTGAAAAGTTTTTTTCCTAATTTTTTTAAATTTTTAAATGGCTTGTTCTACAGGCGCCTAAGCTTTCTTGGGTGAAAGAAAAGTTCTACCAAATCCTGAAATTTTGCTTGAATTTGTCAAATATTTTTCTTAAAGTAACCAAGTTCTAAAGAAGTCTCAGAAATTATCAAAAACTTTTTTGAACCGAAAAAAAACTTCTGTTAACAAACCAGAAGGCTATTTTTTCAGGCGCCAGCCCCGACGCCTTCCTGCGTGGAAGTGTGCCAATCGAGCTGCATGAAGAGCTGCAGCAGCCTCCAGAACAACAGCAAGTGCTCCTCGGTCTGCTCGGACGCCTGCCAGTTCACCTGCGCCAAGCAAACGACCACCGTCGCGCCCGCCACGGAGAAGCCCTTCGTCAGCGAATATCGCTTCATCGTTCCGTCGCAGGGCGCTCCAGTGCCCGTTCAGCCACAGGTATCTTATACCTATATTGGTTAGGGTTGAAAAAGAAAATAAACTTATTATTTCCTGTTCAATTCGACTATTAAACCAACCATCGGTCGAGTCTTAATAATGACACTTCAGAAGTTTTTTGAAATATGCGCTTGATTCCTTATGAAAATTTATGCAGCTTGTATCATAAGTTTCAACTTCTTTCTCTTTCTAACGATTTTTCTTAAGGTATTTCAAGCATTGTTACTTCTGGATGTTACTAATTTTTTCTTGTTTTAAAGCCAATTTTTTTTCTCACGTTTGGGTTGTTGGTCCTGACTTTGAGACGTTTTTTTCTCGAAAACTAAGAATTTTCACAGGCTTTTGCACTTTAAAATTCTCACATAGTACGTAGAAGAGTGTTCTAGTCAGTTTTCAGAATTCTTCGAGCAAAATCAAATTATTTTAAGCTTCTTTTTGATGCGCAGACTTGAACCAGCGACCTTGCGAACGCCAAAAATTAGTCTCACCAACTGGGCCACGTCTACCTAATTCATATAGAGTGTTTTCAGCCGTCTCCTCTTGCAATTGTGATCAGTCCGAACCCTCCAGTCACCCCTGCCACCACGACCGTCGCTCCTCCGTCTCTCGTTTTGGTGAGACCCGATTTTTTGCGGCTTGAGAAATTTTGGCAGCTTCTCGAGTCGACCAGAAGATTATTTATTTAAATAAAGATGCCTTCCTATTCCGAATCTGCACATAAAATTGCAAGGGAATCTTTGATTTTGGAGCAAGAAGTATATTTTTGAATCGTGCTTTTATCGGTATGCTCCCAGTCGCCAGTTTTCTGTGGCTTTGACTAGAATTTTATTTATTTTTGTGAAATATTGGGTCACTTTAGAAGATCATGCTAGTAGTCCCTAAACGTCTTTTTAACTTTCAAATCAGAAAAAATTGAAAGACTTTCATAATGACCACATAAGCCTTATCGGGTTAGGGGTCAGACCCGAAATCCCTTTAGGGAGCGCTATTTTGTCCCCTATAGGGGCTGTTCTCTACCGAACCACTCTGGCGTTCCTAAGTTGGTTAATGAACTTTCTTCTGAGAAGAGTGATGACTAACTTTTTTTCCAAATTCTGACTTGAAGAGCTGCGACGCCGACTGCATGCCGCTGTGCTCGTTTGCCTGTACGAAGCTCCGGCCGACGCTTCGTGTCATTGGTCAGATGATCGACACGAAGACGTCAGGCGCCCAGTGCAAGAAGACGTGCAGCGAGACCTGTCTCACCGTTTGCCAGTTAGTTTATTGATAATATATTTATTTCAATCAGGAAAATAACCAATAAGTTAAAGTGCAAGAGTTAAAAATGAATGAAGAACTTGTTTTTTTGTCGCCCAAGGTGTGAAACCTGAAGTAAAATTACTCCTAGTCTTTTCGAGTAATAAAGTTTTTCGCGAAAGATTCTTTTTCAAGACCTCCAGTGATTTAGCCAAAAAAAAATAGAAAGTCTGATATTTCATCCCCTGCATCTTAAGGGCTATTTCTATATTTCTATTATTTTTCTCAATTATAAAAAGGTACTCAGAAAAAAATCAAACGTCTTCAAGTCTTTTTTCACCCATCAGGAAGTTTAAAAAAATTAACTTAGAAAAAAATCTCCCTCCCACCCAATTGTTCAAGTTTCGACTTTTTCTGAGCTCCCCCTTCCAGCCGGATATCTTCCCCCGAGGGTCAAGACTATCGGCTATCCATCTTGATCACCGGCCTTCTCCTCAAACACTTATCACTTTCTTCAGCTTTCTGTTTGCCTTCAAATTTGCGCGAAACGAAACGTTTATGTCAAGTGGAGTTTGAGCCTACAGCTGAATTTTGATAGTTGTATGTTTTGGTTTCAAAATTCAACGAAGTCTTGTCGGATTTTTTTTTTTTTGAAAGTATGAGTTTATTCAAGAAGCTGTGCGATGCATTTCTTAGTGCCATTTTGAAATTTTTCAGACTTTTCGCAGCGTATAAATTCAATAAATAATATATTTATAAGAAACAATTTTTGAGGCTTCTCATTCCATGTGAGATAAATCAACATAACTTTCATAAAAGAGCTTCACAAGAACGAGAATTTTGAATTGGTGCCAAACCGCTTCGGACATGAACTGCAAATGTCGCATCTCGCCATTTAAAGCGAGAAAATGAATAATATCAAAAATTCCAAATTTGAAGAGCCAGCGGAGTTTCGTTGTCGGAATGCGCGGGTAACTGCGGACCAGCCTGCGAGGACACGTGCAGCCTCGTCAAGCCAACCTGCGTGGCGACCTGCATGCCGACCTGCTCACCGCAATGCACCCTCACGGTACGTCGGAAAGAAAAAAATGAAAAACGGTAGAAAAAGTGTGAACATTGATCTGGCGAAATTCAAGTTCGCGCTTGGAAAATTTCGTTCAAATGTTATGTCGTCTTCCGCGAAATACAAAATAACCGCCAGAGAATGAAAAAGATAAATAAGATTTGGAAATTCTGCCTATCGCGGAAAGGTTTTTGCCTTTGGCGGAAATCACTTTGAACACGGCACTATCGCCGCGACTTGTAAGTTTCCGAGTCTCTGCGTCTCTCTGTTCCCTCACCGGCAAGCTTAGAGTAATATAAAAAGAGCACGTCAACATGAGAGTTCGCCGAGCGACGAGGAGGCGCAGAGAAATTGCGAAAAACGGACTAAAGTGGAATATAGATTTCCAAGCAGACAAATGAAGCCTCTATTTTTTTCTAGATCAAGAAAACAATTTATTTAATCTTTCAATGTAATTTTGAAGATAAAACTTCATTTCAGCTCGAAATCGCTGAGGTCCCAACGACGGCGGCTCCTACGACCACTGCTTCGGTGCCCACCATCTGCAAGAATGAATGCACAGTAAGTTAGAGAAGGCCGGTTTCTGAAAATTTTAGGATATGGGAACGCTCGAACTTAAAGCAGAAAATATAATTTTCTAAATCAATCAATAAGTCAAGTTAATTTATTTTGTTCTAATTATACTAGGCGATAAACACGAAATTTTGGCTATAACGAAAAAACGCCTTTGGCGAACTAGAATTCCAAAGTGTAGTTGATCAAGTTCGAAGCATGGCCTTATGATCTTTCGACTCGTTCTTCTACGTGTAGTTCCTCCAGCTCAGGATGTAGCGGATGTTGTAGCTGGAGCCGACAGAGTGAAGACTTCACACGGAATGATTCAATTTTTGCAGGTCCAATGCGAACACCAATGCGGCGTCAACTCCTTGTCAGGACCGCAATGCTTGGCGGCTTGCCAAACGACGTGCTACCCAGTCTGCCAGGCCAAACTCCGGCGACGACTCTACCGCGCCCCAGTCCGACCCCACGAACCAAAACGACTCAACTAAACGAAATGTCTTTCTTATTATATGAATAAATTATTTAAATTATTTTTGTTTGTTTCTAAAGTCAGTGGAAGTTTTGAAAATCCTATGTTTATTGAAAAAAATATCTTGAAGGGAAAAATTGCCATTTTCATGTGAATCTAGGTGTTTCTAAGGCTTCTTTTGAGGTAGATACAGGTAAAGTCTGTAACTTTTCTTGAAAAAGAGTACATTTTTTTGATGTGATACCTTTCGCTTTTCCACTTTTAGAGAAGAAAACGATTTTTGATATTTTCAGGTAATTATTTTTCAAAAAGAATTTTTCCAAAATTTGAAACAAAAAAAAAGCAAAGGAACCCATTCCTTCTCTAAACACGTATGTAGTTTCAAACTTTTTTTTTTTTTCCCTCAACAAAAGTTCAAAGGGATCGTGTATTTTTCTGTTTGACTTTCTTCCTTGACAGTTCTTTCGACAAAGAGCAAAAGATCGGAATTCCAAAATTGGAAACATTGCTGCAAAGAGCCGCAGGAATACTTTTTCAAGTGTTTAAATTATTTTTAAATTCAAATTTTTGAATGAATAAGAAGGAAAACTAGGAAGAAAATATTATTGAAAATCTTTACTCAAAAGTTTTTGAAATAAGAAATCAAGTTTTATTTCTGAAGATCTCTCAAAAAAAGTAAATTTAAAACTTGGAGTTTTGATGAATGAACGTTGAGCAATTTCAAGAAATGGCCATGAATCTTTCTGGAAAGGCAAAGTTGGAAGGCTTCATAGAAATGTTCCTTTTAGGGTGATGAAGGCTCCCTTTTTGCGCCATTTTCTCAGCCCATATGCACCTTTTTTGCTGCCTCTCCCTTTTTCCACCATTTATCGAGCCTTTAAAATCCCAGAAAAATGGAAGGCTTGATAAAGGGACTTTTTTCGATGCCTTTTTGCTGCCTTTTTTGAGCCTCTCCCTTCTAGCGGCCATTATATACTATTCCGACTTTTCCCGAGCAATTGATTTTTTTTTTCAATTCAAAATTTTCGATGCTTTTGGGTTGAGATGACATGAATATTCAAAAAAATAAATTTTTTCCCTTTTTCTGCAGTCGGGAACTTTCAAGGCATCAAAAAGTTCGCTGTTCTCAAAAAAGGTTCTAAATCATTGCTCTTTGGTTCATTTCAGTTGAGTCTCCGTTTTGGATACCTCCTCTTTGAAGTAGCACTCGAAAAAGCTGGTATTTTTGGGTTGTTAACAGCTGGAGCTGATGACAAGAAACGGGAGAGCCCTCGAAGGAGCGGATTAAGAGGGGCGAGAAAAATGGGGGTCGAAGTTACAAAAACGGAAAATTGTTTGCTCAGCATGTTGCGCAGGCGAACACAATGCGGGTTCAGAAGCCGTTAAGAAGTCGCCCTCTTCTCCTAGACTCTGCCCCCCTTGTTCACAATAAGCCACTTGTGTGTGTGGTCAGACATTTCTGGGGGACACTGTTTGAGAGTGGAGAGAGAGAGATTTTCTTCAGTTTGGAGTGTTCCTCCTGGGCGCGAAGAGCTGCGATTGTTTTGAGGGGCCACTCCCGAGCTTGTCCTGCTCCCTTTTTTTGGCCTGTTGAGCTTGCTCTAATAACAAACAATAATCAGTGATTTTATCAGGTTTGGAAAGATGGGGGATTGAGAAACGAAGTTAGAAGGCTAATCAAATAGCATCGAGTTGAGATTCTTCCTTTCGGAGCAAGTTTTGAAATAATTTATTCGAAGTGAGGACGGATATTTTGGATTTATAGCTTCTCGAAGCTACTGTTATTTTATGAAATAATTTTAAATCTTATTAATTTGATAAACTGATTTGATTTTTGGAAGATAGATGTGATAATACTCAGTTTTTCGTAATTTTCTCCAACAGTCTTTTCCATTTTCTATCAAAATAGCTTCTATTTGGAAACAACATCTTTTTGCAGTTTCTTGAAGTAAAACTATCTGAAAAAAATCTTTTTGAAATTTAAACTGAAGGTTAAAATGAGAAATCAAGTGTGTGAAGGATCGATAGTTAATCTTGAGATTTTCTTCTTGGGAATAAAAAAAAGGAGAATTGGCTGAGACTGACTGAGAGATTCAAAATTTTTATCAAAGAAGATTTTTCAAAAAATATAACTCTTATCTCGGTGAATTAAAAAAACACGAGAAGGTAACTCAGAATGGACGAGTTCGTATGTTTTCCAAAAAATGTTACTTTTTCTTGAAGTTTCGATCCTAATGGGGAGTACTGCACCTGCAAAAAGTTGAGTATGTAATCTTCAATATTCATTTTTTAAAATATGGGCATCTTTTTCGGAACTTTTTCTCTGTCAACCTTCAAGAAACAGTGAAAGTGTCTTTATAAAAGATTAAAATTTTTTTAATAAAAAAAGCCCTTTTTTGCGTTGTTTTTTTGACAAAAGCTTCAAAGAAAAACCTTTATTTCAATAAAAAAAGGTTCATAAAATTCGGCTTCGCGATGAAAGACCTCTTAAAATTCTTGCCATTTTTGTTTTAGCCTTTTTTTTCCAAATAAATAAATAATCAAATTAAAAAAAAAAACAGTTACTGCTTTTTGTGGCAACGCTTCAAGCTTCGATTACTCGGAACTCGGTAACGCTAAATAAACGCGCTCGGGAGGTTCTGTGAATTTCTAGGGGTCCCTTAAGAGTGCTGACCCTACTAAAGGGGTCACTACAAATGCCCTGACTGTTGTCAGTTTCGCGTTACCAAGGTCCGAGTAAACCTGACTTGTAAAATCCTTTTTTTCGCCTCGAATGAGTTTCAAGATGAACCTTGATTTTCTGATAACCTGAGCTTAGATCAGCAGAACGCTTTTTTTCGGTTGCAGAAAGACGCCTGAGGCAATACGCGGGCGGTCACGCCCACCGGTCTGCCGCCGCCGCCCCGACCCAGCCGCAGAGCAACGCCGATTCCGACTGTCGAGCCTGATCTTCACCCGTCTGCCTAGCTGATTTTTGTAATTGTTAACTGACGGAAAATGCGTCGGCTGCTTATACTGCTGCTCCTCTGCGCCACTGTCGTACATGCCGTAAGTTTACCTTCTTCTTTTATTTTTTTATTATTTTCTTCTAAGGCCATAAGCATGAATATTTACGCCACGTAGAGAAGTTTAGAGCAGGTAATTTGAAGTTTTCGAACTTTTAGGATCAAAAAGTTGAATGATCCTTTATCGAAACTCGTTAACGCTGCTAAATCTTTGTGCATATGACCTTCTTTTTTTTTATTTTCTTCAAACTATAAGATGAACGGCTGTTTTGAAGTTCTCTTTATTATTTACTAGCCTGAAGCCGAAGCTTACGTATTTTTCTTCACAATTTTTTCCATTTTTAGTTTTGAAAATTTGTTTTTTTTTTTCAATTACTTTCTTCTTCAAAGTCTATATACAAAGTAGGTTCAAATAAGAGCTAAAGCTTAATTTTTCCGTATTTAGTCTTGTTTATACTCCTTAGTTTCTGAGCGAATTTTTAGAGGTCCAAATAATTTTTCTTCTCATTTTTCTCTTTTTTTGTACTTTGGAGCTTTCTTTCTTTTAATTTTCACAGCTCTTAGAATAATTTGAAGTTGAGAAATTGGATTTTTTTCTCTGAACCTTGCAGGGGACAACTTTAGAGTTTGGAGCCTCAAACTTTTTTTCGGAATATTTTTTTGAAAGCCCAAGGTTTCCTTTTTTCATTTTTTTGCTTTTTTTGTAAAAAAAAATCTTGTTTTAAAATCCATGAAAACGATAGTCTATTCCAACATCATGTATTTTTTGCAACCCAAATGCTCTTCTGAATTTCCATTCTGCCTTTGTTTGTTTTTTCCTTGTTCCGCTGTGCTTCGTTTTTGTAACAAATCCCCATTGTGCGACCTTCGTGCTCCCCAACTAAGCCAACGGACCCGTCTAAGTTTCCCGAAACACCGGCGCTTGAACTCGCTGAGAAAAGCCAACAAAAAAGTCCTTTTTTTCTGACTCGGGTAGCCATTTTTTGAGGTTGAAGGGTTACGGATATTATTTAAAAAGGAAAATTATTCGCTTGGAAATTCTAGGAAAAATTCGGAAAAATAATAGAAAGCTTACCGTTTTTATTTTAGAAGAACCTTTTACTTTAGTCATTCCATATCCAAAAAAATACTTTAGTATATTCAGAAGGAAAAAATCTTTTTTCTGACTCTCCTTGTCTTTTTAGAGGTTGAAAGATTTTGTATCATTTTAGCTTTAGGGGAACATAAAATAAACCGCTTGTCAAGAAATATTTCATAAAACTTTTTTTAGGGATTGTGTATGTTAACCATTTCCTGTGCGACCACTTAGTTTAAAAAGTTTTTTTGGAGGTTCTTGAGGTTCAAAAACCATACCTCAGCATTTTAAAATTAATTTAATTTTGAAAAATAAGCCTGAAAAATCTGCGACTCCTTTGAAATTTTTTCTCAATGTCTATAAGAGGAATCATTCATCTTTCTGAAGTTGTATTATGACTTTTCATGTTTTTGAAGCCTTTTTTTAGAGTCAGAAAAAAATATTTTGAAAAAAGTTTTCAAAATTTTTAAAGAGGTTCCTCCATAAGTCTCACTTATTACCCTAGAATCCTGAGCTTTTTCTATGAAAAAATCAAAATATTTACAAAGATCTTTCTTTATCACTTTTCTTCCACGTAATTCACAAATTGAATTCATTCATCATTCCATTTTGCTCCGAGAAAAAAAACCGCCTGACAATCAATTTTTCCGAGCTGGAAAGGGCCGCGCTCAATTTGCTCGTAATCAAACAATCGACTTTTTTTTTTCTCGCGCCCATTTGCCGTTTGATCTACCGGCTATGGACAGCTGACGGGTGGTGCAGAGAAATCCGGTAGAAATTCTTGAAATTGCGAACAGAAAGAGTGTGATGGCAGGAGTAGGAGAGCGGGATTTTCGAGGATTCGTAATAGTTATTGAACCTTATGCCGTGTTCAATTTGATTCCGCTAAATGAGGAATTATCTGACCCTCCAAAATGTAGTGATCTTTTTCTTTCTCTAACGGGTATTTCGATCAAGAAAATTTTCCTAAAATGAGCAGTAGGAGATTTTTTGGGAAAGTAACAGTCGGACAAGGTTTTTCCGAGCCAGAATTTATTCTGAAATACTTTCTGCAGTTGATTTCCGCTTTTTTGAAACAATATTGACACGATTATTCCAGAAAAAATGGATCAAAAAAGAAATGAAAAATAACAAAGTTTTGAAATAAGAGAAGATGATTCGATAAGTTTGAAGTAGAAACTTATAAGCTCAATAAATTGACAACTTACGAGGACCTGGGAAACGTATTTTATTTTTGGGGACGTTATAGTGAAAAATAGTTGAGTTCTCAAAAAGTGCATTTTCATAGTCTAATCAGTGAAGATCTTGAAATTCGATTTTTTTACATCGTTTTTTTGTTTCGGATATTGGTTTTTCTAATGAAAGTCCGGTCAGTGATTGCTTTAAGGAAAAAAATTTTAAATAATCTTTCTCTCAAATTGAATTTTTTTCCATTTTGAAAAACGGAACACTATTTCTGAGGCTCAAAAAAATGTAATTTTTTTCTGTTTTTTTCTCTCCTTTCCCTTTTTATTTAATGTTCTTTGATATTTGGGTACCTTTTTTTGAAACGCTATTTTTTTGTTGCTTCAGCCAATCGTTTCCCCTAATTTTTTTGGCTAAATTTCGTAAAACGAGGGGTTTTTTTATTAATACTTGCCGTTTATTTCAATTTTGTGAGTTCTTTCAAACTTTATTCATTGCCAAGGACAAAAAAGTACATAGAAGTCTAAACCTCTCCTTTCCGCGCCTTATTTTTCTACTCGTTTCGAGTCCAACTCAGTGGAGAATGAACTATTATTTTTTCATTTTTTCATCTTCACTGATTTTTTTTTTTCTAGCCTCCCATTGAAAGTTGATCAATATGTAACACAAATAAATTTTTCTAGATCTGCCAAGAAATGACTCAAGTGTTTCTTTTTGCACTTCCCCTTTGTCTCAACCTGAAGAGAGAAAAAAGATCAAATATAAGCCCCCGGAGAGCAATTTTTGAGCCATCTTTGTCTTTTTCTCTCTGTGTAGAAGGCGGAATTCGGATTGCGCGAACACGAACGCATTAGCGACTGTTTGCAGTGTGAAAACATCATTTCGGTTTGCTTTGAGTTCCTTTGGAGCAGAACAGAAGAGCCCAAAAATGGTGTGGAGCAAAATGTGAACAGTAGAAATAGATGTAAGAGGATAGCTTTGGTGCAAAAAGTGGCGAAAATAACTGGAGTCAAAAAAAAAATTCCTTGGAATGTTTTTTGAGTTTTCTAGAGACTTACGAACTCATCTATGGGTTTTCGAAAAAATTTATGATTTTTGCTGATTGAGCGAAAAGCTCTTTTGTTTTTTGTGGCGTTTTCAATCCTGAACGGAAGGAGCTTTTAAAGAAAATCTCAATATTTTCTATAGATAATTATTTTTCTTTCGTGTCACTCTTTCAGCTGTAGCTTTCCAAAGACAAAATCAGGAATTCCAGAGTGGCCTCTATAGGGGTTAGGGCGGAAACAACCCCTATAGGGGACGGAAAAGTGGCCCCTAAAGGGATACTTTTACAGTTTGAAACTCCTGGGAGCGTCAACTCCACTATTATTTTTTTTAAAGGCGGGAAAAATTTGAAGATTTTGAAGAACTTCCAGGGTTTTTCTTGATTTTGTTGGGAGTACTGGCATTTTTAGAACAACTTTCAAATAAAACTACTTTTCTTGTCAGCAAAGGTTTTTCTACAGATTGAATGCACCAAAAGTCGGACCAATCATAATGTTTCTGAAGAAAAGTTCAAAGATTTTCTCGTTCTCGTCGTTCAGTCAATTGAAAAACGAAAAAAAAAGATATTAATGGCGAAACTTATGAATTTCAGGGCCGTCGGTTAAAACGACAATGCGGCTGTACGAACTTCTGCAACTGCCAGCAACCTCCGATCGTCTACCAGCAGAATATTCAGCCGAATTGCGCATGTCAGCAAGCTCCAGCCTGTCAGCCCCAATGTCCTCGAGCGGAAATCGTCGGGATTCTTTGTAGATCCTCGATGATTTTAGTCATTTCCAGAACTCGGATTGTGCGTCGACGTGCGTCAGGGCGTGTATCCCGGCCTGCTCCAGGACGTCGGGAAATGTCATCGCCTGCTCTTCACAATGCGACAAGACCTGCGTCAACACGTGCCGTTCTGCTGCCTCGGCCGCCATTCAGATCAAAGTTCGTTTTTTGAATTGAAGTTTGAGCCGACTTATATAATTCCTTGTCAATTGAAAAAAGCTAGGTTTTAAAAAAGTACAGGATCATTTTTTCAAAGATTTTCCCGTTCGGAAAAAAATCTTTTATCGTTATGAAAAAGTTTGATTAAATTTTTTTAGTGCTTTCCAAATTAATTTATAAATAACGTAAAAACTGGCCAATAAAAATGAATTTCCAGGTCACACCGACCGTCCAAACAAGCCCAGCTCCTCCCACTTGTCAGTCCACCTGCCAGAACGCTTGCCAAACGGCCTGCGTCGCCAACAAAGCTCCGCCTTCGGTCTGCCAGCAGACGTGCAAGAACTCGTGCCAGTTCGGCTGCGCCACTCCAGAAACGATTCCACAGGCCGCCGCTCCTCAGGCAGCCATCCGAATCACCCTCGACATCAACGACCGCTACTTCGACACCAACTGCGACACGAAAATGCTCTCAAGCCTGCCATTCACAATGCATTTCGCAAGGAAATGCCGCTTCTCCATGCGCGTCTTCTTGCGATGACCAGTGCGGCAATCAGTGTGCTGCTCGAGCTCCGCCTCCAACTCCAGCTCCAGCTTCGATCCATCAGGTGCAGATCTCCTTCCAGCCTGCCCAAGCAGCCAGTACCTCCTGTCATTCTCGTTGCCAAAACGCTTGCCAATCGTCCTGCACTGCTGTTCAGAAGAACGTCTGCGCTCCGTCTTGCGCCGCCGCCTGTGATTCCCAATGTTCCGAGCCTGCGACACCTCCGCCCAAGCAATGTGTCTCGGCCTGTATGCCGGCTTGCGAGCCCCAGTGCATCAATCCGAGTACCGCAGCACCTTGCGTTGCGGCTTGTCAACCAGCCTGCACGCCTCAATGCGTAGAGCAGCAGCAGAATCCTCAGCCACCACCAACCTTGGCGCCTCAATGCGTTCCTTCCTGCCAACCGCAATGCCTGCAGACTTGCCTCGACGCTCTGACGACACCAGCTCCTCCACCTCCACCTCAATGCATTCCACAATGTCAGCCCGCCTGCCAGCCGCAGTGCATCCAGGCCGCGACGGCTCCACCTCAGCAGGTTACCTTCACAACTCCACAGCCTCAAGAGGCCACTTGCATCGCCGCTTGCCAGCCGGCCTGCACTGAAGAATGCATCAATCACTTCACTTATCTTCCTTCTTCAACTTCCTCACCAACACTCCAAGACTATGACTACAGCACAGTAGAGCCAGAACCTATAGAAGTAGAAAGCACTGAACCTTACACTACTACCACCAGACAGTTCACTTTCACAACCACCCCAGATTTTCTCACGACCACACAGCCAACGACGAGCTTCACCTTCACCACGACGCCTTACTTAGAAACTACCTCATCGACGCCAATGCCGATTCAGACGACGACTTCACAGCCTCTAACACTCACCACCACAACTGTAAGTTCATCCCAGGTGACGGTAGCCCTTCCGTACTGCTTGCCAGCCTGTTTACCGCGCTGCGAGCCGACCTGCGTTCAAGCCATCAAAGTTTTAGCTTCTATCTCATGCCCAGCCGCATGTAAACCGGCATGCTCACCTCAATGCGTCTCCCAGGTCGTGGTCCCACCTCGACCATCACCTCCACCTCCGCCACCAGCTTACAATCAGGTATCTAACTGCGTCGCCGCTTGTCAGCCGAAATGCCTACTCGATTGTATCATGCAGCACCGTTCAGTTCGACCCCCTGAGCCAACCCAAAACGCCCTTAACAATGAAACTCCTGAGTTGCTTCAAAATTCCAACACAGAGTATCCAATCGAAGTTGATCATCTGGAAGAACAAGGACCGCACTACACTATCATCGACACTGATCATCCGGACGTCGACGAAGGCTTCGATAATCATCATTCTTCTTTGGACAACAATTATCTGTATCCTGGAGGTTGCTCCAGCTTCTCAAGCTCAAGTTCAGCAGCCGCAGAAACGTCACGAAACACAGTTCTACATATTGGTAACAACTATGAAGTCCTGGAGCCAAGCTATCCGGCTCATTACATGGAAGCTGACATTCCACCGACGTCATCAGCCTTTCAAATAATCTCGGCCAATGGCACGACGATAGTTCAAGAAGCACACAACGTAGCTCTTCCGATGTTTGAAGGAGGAAAAAGAAAAACTGGATCATCAAGAACTCTGACTCCGATTAGAAACGATATTCCTTTTCGCTGAACTTGTCGCTCCTCTACCCTATGACTACGAGCCGCCGACGGAGAACGACGAGGACGACCTTCACTATTCCTGTATCGAACAATGTATGCCCCAATGTCACCCAGCTTGTCTAACCGAATACCTTCCCGTTAAAAATGCCACCACCACAGCTTCCCCACCTGCCAGCACCTGCGCACCAGCTTGTCAACCGATGTGCACGGCGAGCTGCCTCGCCTCCCTTTTTTGTCCTCTGTCCTGCCAGCCTGGCTGCAATCCGTCATGTCTGCAGATTTCTCAACCAGCTCCACAGCCGCAATGCGTTCCCGCCTGTCAGCCGGCCTGCGAGCCTCAATGCGTTCAGTCTCAAACCGTCACCATCACCGTCACGAACCAACAGGTCGAGTGCATTCCCCAATGCCAACCGCTTTGCGAACCACAATGCTTGGTCGCTGACAGCCTTCAGAAGGTTCGCTTATTCCCCTATGCTTTCCTGTGTGTTTGACGGAAAAGTTCCTAATATACATAACCGATTTGAAAAAGCTTACTGGAGTTCCTAAAAAATTTCCTTTTCAAAATTGCATGTTTGAAGGCTCCACTAACCTCTTATCTATAAAGCTGTCCTAGAACTAGAGACCGCAGAGCCACGCCCCTTTTTGCGATGGTGAAATGCACTGGTTTTTTAGATTTCGTGTTTGATGTTTTCGTAAAAGCGCAATACTGAATCAAACACAGAGAAATTTGGTGGAAACATAGAGAAAACCTTCCTCTTCAATCTCATATACTTTTCACCCAATATTCAAAGCGTTTTAGCGGAGTGTCGTACAAAAAAACCAAAACTACTTTTTCTTCGGGTTTTTAACCTAGTTCCATGTCGTTGGCGCCTTTTTTTATTTTTCGAATTCGATTCTTAAGTGAAAAAAACAAATTTTTTTAGGACAAAAATTAAAAATTTTTTTACGGTGCCTGATCTTCATGAGGCTGCGCAAAGTTGAAAAATGTTGTACTCGGTTTTCGAGAGCGTGTAAGTAAAAAAATTTTTTTATTTTAACTTGTGCATTAAATTGTAACTAAAACTTTATTAGTATAAAACTTAATCCGAAAACTTTGTTTTCTGAGAAAAAAATAGACAGTGAAAATTTCGAAATTTATTTTTAACATGGTTAGATTTTGTTGGCGCCTTTTTTTATTTCTTAAATATTAGCGTATCTCAATTTTTCAATCAATTAAAAAAATAAAATAAAAATTTCCACGGTGCCTAAAAAGTTTAACTATTGTTAATTTGAAGCCAACGTTTAAAAAAATAACAAAAAAACGCCGAAAACGGAAGCATTTTTTTGAACTGAATCTTTATGAATAAATTATTTTAAGGTGGTCCGAACACACGTGACTAATAATTGTTCAATTATCATAACTTTTTTTAAAACAAAACAGACGGTAAATGCTGTACTTTGAGGTGAAGTGGTGTATAGCGCGAACGCCTCTTATCTCCGAGGGATGTGTGTGGAGCAGCGCAAGTGCCCTTGCATACAGTTTTGATATCGCGAGTTCAATCCTCGCAGCGGCCGTTTTTTTATTTTTTTCAAGAAAAAAATAGCTTTTCTTTTCAAACTTGTGGTTTTTATACTGTTTTAATGACTTATTACGACTTTGAAAACCAAACTAAACTACTAAAAAAATTTAAATCCGATATGAAAACAAAATGAACGACCAAAAAGTGTAAAATCTATACTTTCAGTACTAAATTTTTGCGACTTTTTTTCACTACTGTTTTGACCATAACTTTTTTTTTTCTCAACCTTTTTCGAAAAACTAAACTGTTTTGAATAGTAAATTAGAGCAGCTATCCAACCATAGTAATATTGAAGTTCGAAAAATTTTTTGAAAATTCGTCTGCGGTCCCTACCTAGAACATTTTGATGTGTTTAAATTTATTTCGCAAATTCTAAATTCAAAAAGACGTGTTCAAAGTAATTTCCGTGAAATGCAAAATTATCTCTGACTCTCCAAAATTTAGTTTTGTTTTTCTTTCTCTGACGGCGATTTTGCATTTCGCGGAATATTTTTGAACACGTCATTATAATAAAATGCTCCTTGGAGCGATTTCGATTATGCTCAAGTGATGACTAACTCGATATGTTTTTTACGCGAAATCACTTTGAAAGAGCCTTTTTTATTTTGTTTTGAGTTTTCAGTTCTATTCAAAGTATTTTCAAGGAAAGCGCATGCTTAAATCAATTCCGCGAAGTTTCCTTTTTCATTGGAGTTGGCGAAAAAATGATGATGTGTTTGCTCAATTAAGAGAATATTCACGAAAAATGGCTTTATCTGTATTTTGTTTCTAAATCTTTGCGAACCCTGTCCCATGCCAACAGCTTCATGCTTTCTAACAGTTACCGTCTTGCCTAACCGAATGAAACGAAACAAACGCTTCAAACCCGAATATCCGAAAAAGGCTTTGCAGCAGCTTCAATCCCAGCAGTCGTGTCCGGCCGCGTGCCAGCCCCAGTGCAACAGCCAATGCGTTCAGGTTTCGGTGACGTCGCCGCCCTTCATCCTGTACCCCCAGGCTGTTCAGAATACAGCCGCCGCGAACCCCTGTCCTTGCGTCGATCAGTGCCAGAACGGCTGTCGCCAGCACAACCCTGACGTTCAAGTCTGCAAGAATGTCTGCGACGAGGTTTTTTGGTTTCTCTAATATTCTTGTTTCGCAACATCTTTCTGAGCTTTTTGAAGTCCTAAGCGTGGAAGAGAAACCGATTTTTTTTTCGGTTTTCTTGAAAAAATCGCTCTAAATTTGTTATACTTTACTTTTTTAAAGTATTCAGGTAAAGATATGTCAGAACTTTAATGTATGAATATCAGCTTTAAAGCAAGAAAAGAAAACTAAGGTAAACCGTTTTTTGCAACCACACGGCCTCAGCTAAAGATCTCGCCACGAAGAGATTTTTTTATGTGGAATTTTCTATTTTTGTTCTTTCTAAAACCCTGCACTCCTGATAATATCTTTCTTTTTTTGAAAATTTTTGGTTCAACTTCAAATTTGGTTTTTAAAAACCCTTTTTCAACCGAATTTTTTTTTTAGTTATGAATCCTTGAAATGTTCCTTGATAGTCACAATTTCATTTGTTCTATTCAGTTTCTTTGAGTAAGCTAATTTAAAATGGTCGATTTTCTACGATTTTGTGTTTTAGTCAAATGTCTGAAGGATTTCCAGGCCCTTATTGTTTATAATTCATTTTTTTCCCATTACTTTGAATACGCTCATCAACAACTCGGTTTTTTTCTTAGTTCGGGATTAATGCGATTTTTTTCATAGGGGCCAGTTCAAAAAAATGGAACTTTTTTTAGAGTGAGTTCCATTTTTAGTATGGAACTTGAAAAAATTTAGATCACATTTTACTGTTTTAAGTAAACCTTCCGGATCGCAAATAGATCATATAAACCTAATTTTTAGATGTAGAATATTTCCAAAACTGTCATTTTCTTTTCTTCTTGTGGTTGCGTTAATATTATTATTATTATTATGTAATTGGCCTGTTAGAAATGAGCGGCATAGCTGGTTCACGGCTGGCTTGAGCCATCGGAAAATGGGTCCTGACACGATAAGAAAAGAGACAGTGCCTAATTGGTGAAGAGCACAGATAGGCCACGCCCTTTTGAGTCCCAAGTTAGCCGTGAATCGACTATATTGTTGAAACAAGTCTAATATTATAATCTAGGTCTGCGAAAACGAATGCCCACGAGCGCCGGTGGTCGGAAACGCGATCCCGCAGCCGGCGTACCTCGCTCCGTCTCCCGTCGTGCCTGTTCAGCTCGTCCAGCCACAGCTTTTCATCAACTTTGCCGTTCCGGAATGCGTGCCCGTCTGCGAGCAGGTCTCCCGAAACCCTTTCCATCCTCACTTGTCTTCTTTTCTTTGTTTCAGTCTTGCAACTCGCAATGCGTCGAGCGTTTGCCGCAGGACCACTGCGGCAGCGTCTGCCACTCCCAATGCCAAGTCGCTTGCACTCAGGTTTTTTTCCTGTTAAGTTGGGATGATTGATTCGGTTCGATTGGATCTTTTTCAATCAACTTTATTGATTTTAAACTGCTCTTTGTAGTGCTGTTTAAAAGCCATGTACAAGCTAAAATTAGACAAAAAGGCCTTCTAAAGCATGCATGGGCTAGTTTGAACATTCTAGTCACTATTTTTGAACAAATCTCTTTTTTTTTTTCATTAGAAATGATCCAAACCAAGCGTGCAGTGAAATGATAAGTTTCATGGAGTTTAGTTTTTTTTTATAAGCAATATTGATTTCTAGCAAGCTGCTCCAGCTCCGGTGGCTCCAGTCCAGCAGGCTCAGCCTCAAGCTCAATGTCCCGCGATTTGCCAGCCAGCCTGCGAACAGCAATGTGTCTCCCAACAACAACCCATCCGTATTGAGGTTTTGATTTTTTTCTGAAAATGTTCAAAAAAAAACATTTTTTCAAATTTTATCCTAAGAACTGTGTACAGAAGTTTGCTTTGCGTATCAATTTTTTCATCAAGGCGACTTTTTGAGAATTATATTTCCAATACATATCTATCCCAATAGAAGCTTTTAGGACGGTTTTGGATATAGAAAAAAATTAGATTGAAGAAAAGTTGAATGGAAATAACTGGCTGGGTATAACAAATTATGTTGCCGATTCATGGCTCATTCGAATCGCAAAGAGGCGGTGGCCTTTCTCCACTCTCCACCAATCAGGCACTCTCTCTTTTCTTATCGTGTCAGGACCCTTTTTTCGATGGTTCAAGCTAGCCGTGAGTCAGCTACATCGCACGACAATTTTAAAATTGAAAGGACTATTTTCAATCAAATGCACTTTAGGTGAAGCTGCAAGCGCCGACACAGTGCCAGCCGATGTGTGAGCAGAGCTGCGTCTCCGAGTGCCAGGCCTCGACCCAGAACATCGGAAGTGCGTCCTGCCAGCCGACCTGCTCGGCCATCTGCGCTCAGTCTTGTGCGCCCCAGCCGACTGTCCAGCAACCTCCACAGCAGCCAGTTCAACAACCACAGCCTCAGCAGCAATGTGCTCCCAAATGCATGTCCGATTGTACCAACCTGTGCCCTGCTAAGACTCCTCAGTGCGCTCAAGGTAACGTTCAGGGGGAGGCAAGAAGCCTTACTCAAAATCAAAAAGACAAGCTAAAAAAGGAGAACACCGTCACAAATAACTTTTCAGGATGCGAAGCAAGCTGCCAGCAACTCTGCGGCACCGCTCCGACGCCAGTCCTCCATTTAACAGTCAATTACAATTGCGACTTGTCCTGCGACACTCAGTGCAAACAGCAGTGTTATCATCAGCGTAAGTCATTTTTCTCTATGAAAAGAAAACGTTCTAAAATAAGATTCTGAATGAATTTCTTTCAGCCGCGCAATGTGCTCCAGCTTGTGCCCAAGCCTGCGAAACTCAATGTCCCGCCGTCAGTTGTGAAGACGCCTGTCAGACCGTCTGCAAGGTGAAAATACAGTTAGAACTGACCAAGGACCTTTTTTCGGTTCCAGGCTAAACTTTGGTTGTAATTTAGGATTACCAGATTCGAGAACAGCGCAAAAAATGAATCTTTTATGAGCAATTTTGGAGGAGCTCCTATAGAGACCACTGTAGGGAACGATTTGGAAGTCCCTTGAGTGCTTCCTGAGCGATCAATCGCAACCCTAAAGCTTTAGGGTGTTCCCTATGTCTTTCAGGGTCCCTAATATCCCTATAGGGGCCACTCCTTAGTAAATTCCGCAAACTACATAAGTTAAAGCGTTATTTCAGGATTCATAAGCTTAATAAATCGTAATCAACAATCATTAAAATTATTCGCTTTTTTCTGTATTCATATTAAAGTACACTTCAGCCAGAAAATTAAACCGAAGTTTCTCTCGTGAATAAATTCTCTCAAAAAAAGTTTCAGGGTCAATGCGTTTTCTCGGGACAAAATTCGCGTCAGTGCGCACCGGCTTGTGCCCAATCTTGTACCGCTCTATGTGCCAAGAAGCGAGTCAAACGATCATAAACTTTTTCTTTCATTTTCTTGTTCTTTTCTGTCAATTTCGTGTATCCGCTTGTCAGTTGCTTTGCCTGCCGTTCTTCCCCAATCGTTTGTTTTTCTCTTTTCTTGTTTCGTCATTACCACAAATCACATTTGCTCAATCTTTTTTCATTTCAAAACTCACGCAATAGGGGACCAAAAAATCTATATTTTTCTACACTTTAACCGGTTCTCGCTGTGATAAGAGATTGGAAAATCCCTCTCTCTTTGTCTGTATATTCTGTCTGATCTGCACCTAATGTATTCTTAAAACGTCACAAAATAATTTATTGTCTTTTTCACAACGTCTAGTCTTTCTTCTATCTTGTTGTCGCGTGTGAAGTTCCACGCAAAATAAAGTTTATATCAGATGAAAAAAAGGTTTTTTCCAAATGAACAGACAAAGGCGAAAATCGAGATCTTTGTTATCCCGCATTTGAAGCAATATTCAGCAAATCAATACTAATTGACTTACTTTTAGGAATACTAGAATTTGAAGAGTTCTTTTGAAGCTAAATTTTATATCCGTGCGGCTATGTTTGATTTTTCTTTTCGGCTCTCATACTAAGTCTCATTATTAACGGTTTGAATTGAATTCAAATCATCGTTTCTCAGTGTAATTCTTCTCGATGGCGTTGAAAATGGCTTGATCATAAGCAGAAGCGTTGAATCGCTCCGATCGAATCAACCAATCGCAAAAGAACGACCACCGTTGTGCGTAGTACTCCAGAAAGAGGCCAGACCATTCCCGATGGGCGTAATCTGGAAAATTCAAACTTTTTCGCTTTTCTCATTGAAATTTTCTTGCTAACCTAGGTTTTGACCGTCTGGTCCCCAAGTGGTCAGCAAATCTCTAGCATTTCCTTCAAGTTGATCTTTTTCAGCGGCAGTGTTTCCGATCGCTCTTGCCGAAGCTGAAATTTAATAATTTAATATAGAAGTACAGAAGAGATCACTTCTTTTTCAAAAGACCCTCCAACAAAAATTTCAAAAAATTCAAGATTCTGGAAAGTTGAGAGGAACTTTGAAGAGGCGAAAGATTGGAATTTTTCACTTAAGTGATTTCTGCTAGAGTCTGTTTAGAGTTTGGATGTCAAGTCGTCGCTCAAGCTCCGCCCCTAATGATGCGATAAATCAATCAGAGAGCGAGCCATCCACAGAGCTTTATAATGACGTCATTGCACTTGACATTCTAATTTTGAAAAAAGATCCTTCAAAAGTAGAGAGAAAGTTATGTAAAAATTTAAAGAATGACAAATTCCAGCCTTTTTTCGCAAAACCCACCAATCCAATCGCCCATCCGGACATTGGCGTAGAGTTCAAGCTCAGCGAACGATTCGAGAAGATTGGAGCAGCTGGCGCCGACCTGAAGCTTGTCGTCGAGGGCGTAGGCCTCGTAGATCTTCAGGACGTGTTCTTCGCTCATCCGCAGTTGGATCGAGGTCCTCAGGACGTCCTTCATGTCTTCTCTGGAACGAGTGAAAGAATTGAAAAAAAAAAAAATCAAAAAATCAGTTTTGAACTCGAAAAAAGTACTGTGAAAAGGCATTCAACTAGCTTTCAAGAAGGAAAAGTTACATATACGGGCGCTGGATTTCCTATTAGAACTCTATAAAGATTTCCATTTTATAACATATTAAGTGAATTATTTGTTTCATTTTTCTCATCTCGAACGCTCATAGAAATAAAAAAATTATCTGAAAATTTAAAAAAAGAATATCCTTCAGCGGTCACAAAAAAAACTTTAAAGAAAATATTATTTAGCCTAATTTTGGACAATAAACTTGGTAATTAAGAAAACTGTACCCATCATCTCAATAACCGTTTTCTATTTTTATAAACTCACCGAAACAGAGGATTCTTCCACAAATGCGACTTCAAATACGAAAACTGCAAAGCGATTCTGTGTAGAGCTCCGCTGGGGAACCAGTACTGAAAAAATCATGCTTTAATTTTTTTCTCATCTCCAAACAAACTTTCTTCTAATTAAACTTGAGAAAGACCAATACTGAATAATTTTTCAATATTGGGAGCGCATTTTTCAATCATCAAAAAACAACTCTTTTTTCTCAAAGTCTTTGAAAATCGGAAATAATCTTCAGGAAAAACAAAATAACATTCAACATGCTCTCGTGAAACTTAAGCCTTGAGCTTGTGGGATTTTTTTGAGACATTAAAAAAATCCTTTCCTTATATACTTTCTGTAGTATCTCAGGTAAGAGATAAAGTGGGATTGAATTCGAATTTGGATTATCGTAAATGCTCTGCAAAAATATTTTCAACTTTTCGAGATGAGTAGTATAAAAACATTTTTAACACGATTTCGGGTATTTTGAGTTTATTGGATAAGCGAAAAATCATTTCGGAGGTAAAAAATGATGTAATTTAATGATACAGAAAGTTTTCGAACTATTGTCCAACTGATATGCAAATTCCGAGGCTTTCTTAGGAAATCCAGAGTGGTCCCTATAGAGGTAAAATCAAGGTGGTCACTATAGGGGTTTAGTGTCAGACCACTCAGCCCCTAAAGCTTAAATGACCCCTATAGGGGTCTTGCAACTTTGTTTTAAAAAAACGCTCATTTATTTAATTTTTTTTTCTGGTGCTTCTTCGCATACAGTACATGAAAATTATCGACAAGCATGACCCCTACAGATGCCACTAACTAAAACCCCTATAGGGACCACTTTCGCAAGCTTTAGTGGTCCCTATAGGGGTAAGTGAAGTGGTCATTGAAATTGCCCCTATAGGAACCAATCTGGAGTTCCTAAGTCCAATTAGAACGAAGCTAATTTACCCAATTCAAAACTTCCTCTCGAGCCACAACCCACCGTAATCTTGCCTCCGAACCCAGGTCTATGGTAGAGGAATACTGTAGACCGAGATGAGGTCAACGGCTCGTCGTAAAGTGTCTGCGCCAGTTGAGACCAAACTTTTCGCACACTTTGATGCGTGCCACCGTATCTCGAATCAGCGTAGGTATCTATCCTGAAGCCGGAGAATACTGTAAGGTTACTGTAGCTGAACTATCAAGAGAGCCTACGGATCACCTTTCAAAATATTGATAGAATGATTCTTGAAAAAGGTGAGGAGTTTGAATATTTGGAAAAGCTGAAAATTTTTTGCCACTTGTTTTTTTTTTCAAATGGGCCTAGTTCAATGCTCTCATTTTCCTGTGTGAATGGAAAAAAACCAACCATTCTGGAACAGAAATCATATTTTTGGACCAGAATCGATCGATTGCGAATTGATAGACGACGTAATTTTGATCGATCGCCTCCATTGAAAGCCCAGCGCCGACCATATTTGGTTGCGTCGCCAGAGCAAGTTGATAACCCTAAACAAAAAAAATCTTGTCGGTTCCGAAAATGAAAAAAATTCTTTCATAAATAAAACAACAATGACCGTAATCTTTATGTAATGTTGCTTTCCTTCAACACGGGCAAAGCCGAAAAAGGCCTCAAAAAGGCCTTTAAAAAGCCTCAAAGGCGCCTTTTTTAGACCTTTTTCTGAAAAGAATCTTTCAAGGAGATTTAAAAAAGGAAGGCGAAAAAAGGGTGAAAAACGGAGATTCCGAGAAACTTTTGAAACCTGTTTAGGAACTCAAATGAAGCTTTTTTTGCTCTTCTTTTTGAGGCCTTTTTGAGGTCATTTGGACTTTGCCTGTGAAGCGGAAGTTGTAAAGTACTTCAGAACTTTTAAGCTAAAAAAAATTGGTGGAGAAAACTCTTAAATGACCACTTGAGCCTCACTAACTAGTGAAGATAATTTTCTCATTACTCAAAGAATATGGAAAAAATAAGGCATAGAACTTTTTTTATTCTATAAAATATCAAAAGTTCTAGGCGATAACTTACTTTCATGCCATTTTTCCCTCATCTTAAAATTTTTTTTGTCACAAATTCTCTTCTCAGCTTGCTGACGTCTTTTTCAATAATATCCTCTTTTTTGAAACCATCATTAACAACAAATCTACTGATAAAATCTCTTTGAAACCAAAATTAACTTCGTTTACTGGTTACATCTTAATCTTCAGAAATCTGTAAATAGATCCCATTTGGAATATTTCTCTCTTCTGAAAAGCGCAGGAAACTTCAAAAAAAGTTCAAGCTCTATTTTTGCCCCCACGTCACCTTTGACGAGAATCTTTGGCCTGGGCCAAAAACACGCAAATCCCCCGGGCAAAGAACATAAATCCTTGTTCATATGGCCTTTCTAAACGGCCATATGGAGAAGCATGAGAGTTTACGGCCCGTGAAACCATTTCATATTCGGATTTACGGTGCGTAAAGGACCTTGTTGACGGCTTTGAGATTGCCTCGAAGCTCACGGGTACCGCCAAAGTTGTGAAGAAGGCACCAGACGAAGTTATGACCGTAGAACGAGGAAAATTTCCGCCACGCTGGTTCGACCTCGGCGTGAAGATCCAGAATTAGTAGATGACCAACAGGGACGGCTGAAATTCCAATTTTCGTGAGTCTTCAAATTCCTTGGAATTTCGAAATAGAAAGGGTTATTATAGTCTGTATGCCACGACTTGAAATTTGACCGAACGACATCCTGCTGTTCCGCTGCGCGCCTCTGCGAACCTTGGTCGCGCTTTTTATTTTATTTTTTTATTATTTATTAAGGTACTCTACTTTCATGTGCTCCTACAGCAATAACAATCAGTTTAAAGCGTGACCTAGATTCGAAAGACGCTTCGCGAACGCACGCAGCGGAACAGCGGAATGTCGTTCGATGGAATTTAAAGTCGCGGCACACAGACTATACAAAAACTGGTGGGTGACTAAATAAAAAAAAGCTTCAAGTTCCATTAGTTGATTTTTTTCTATTTTTTCTTTTTCATTCTTCTCTTTATTCTTCTGAAAAAAATCTCTCTTTACTTTTTTTAACTTTTTAACTTTTGGAAAAAAATTATTTTTAAACTTGAAATGGAAAAAAATATTATTCCGTCAAAGATCTAGATTCTGAAGGAACCTAATCATTTCTTTTTGGATCCTAGAAATGCGGAGGCCAGCTCAGCGTCTGATATTTGATTCAAGCCTAACGTGGGCAACGATTACGCAGAAGCTTAAGACGCCGAATAAAAACAAAAACAACAAAAAAAGAAACCTGAAAGAAACGACTTGACGGCCCACGATGGCCATTTCTTGTAGGTGAACTGCCAGGATTGGGTGACCCTGAAATAATTATTATGAAAGTTTGCACGAAAAATGACTTCTTTCTTATATTTATGCCGTGTTCGAATCAACCCCGGGGAACGCAAAATAACCGTCAGAGAGTGAAAAAGATAACCAGGTTTTGAAGAATTTGAGAAAACTTTGATTTCCGCGAAATTACTTTGAGCATTCTCGGACCTCGGTAACGCAAAACGGACGCACGTGTTGGAGCTTTTCTAGTGACCACTCTAGTAGCTTCAGAACTCTTAAGTGATCCCTAGAAATGCTCAGAAAAGTCTGAAGCGCGTCTGGTTTTCGTTGCCGAGAAACCTTCAAAAAAAATAACTTCAAACTCTCTCCTGTCCAAGAAGCGAAAAAGTTTACAAATTATTATTTTTTTTCAATTTCAAAGTCTCAGAGCCCTTCAAAATCCCACCAAACGCAATCCGGATCGAATTCGCGACACGTGGACGAAATGGCTGAAGCTGCATCGGCCAGTTCTTTTTTGTCTTGACTCGGCTTGAGCTCATTAAACGGATCCGCACTGTAGAGATGAGTACTGTCACCAAAAGCTGCCGATTGCTGAAAGAAAAAGGATTTTTCCACTCCCAAATAGGGATTTTTGGTTGACCAGCAAGCTCTGAAGCTTTCTAAAACCCTACCGCTTGGAGGAAAGCCGTTCCAATACGTTTGAACAAAGGATCGTTCGGAGCCACGGACAGCAGGCAACTGTAGGTCGAGTTGAAGTCGTTCCAACAGCTATTCCGAACAAAACGCGCCTTCGGGAAGATTCTGAAAGATCCCCTCAACTTCCGTCCTCTCAACAGATTCCCAACTGTGCGATGCTTTCTGGCACGAATCCAGAAAACATGGGGAGGATTGGCACGATTCCAAGCTCCCTCAGACGAGCCACGATTCGCTGAGCCAGCTGCAGTTCTTGTCGCAACAACGCGTCCGACGATCCTCCTTTCCACCCTTTCAAATTACCCATTCTGTGCCTGAAAACGCGGAAGTTTTCCTCGATATTTATCTCATTTTGGCGCACCAGGCCGTGTAGGAAGGTGACGTGAAGTAGCGATGGAGGTCCTCCCCGGGGACGCCGAACGAAGCGAACACGTCGTGCCAAACCGCCTCCTGTCCCAACGGCATCAGCACCGTGTTGAAGCCGTCTCAAAATTTCTTCTTGTTGACTCAAACTTTTGAGAAATGAGTTGTGGAGAGTTCAGAGGCCCTACGCAGAAAGAGAGAGGACTTTTAGGCCAGAAAAGTTTAAGAGTTTTTTAGGTTCGCCTGATTTAGCTCACCATTAAAACGAGGTAACAAATGGCTCCTCTAGATGCGAATTTGGGCTAATTGCTCGACTGGACACTTTCTTGTCGACTCAAACTCTTAAAAAAATGAGTCTCCAAAAAAACGAGTTGCGGAGAGTTCAGAAGACCTAAGAAAAAAGTAGGAAAAGTTTTGAACCCTTTATAAGCAGATTTTTAGGCTCTACCTCTTCTAGTTCACTCAAAGTTTTGAAAAAATGTGTTGGGAAGGGTTCAAAACTACGCAAGTGTATATTCGAGTTGGAAAATCGGAGACGACTCTTTAAAAAGTTCAACAATTGCTTTATATGGCCCTCATGAAAGCTTATATAAACTTTATTAAAATTAAGAAAAATGAGAAAATGTATGGCTCCCCTAGATCCGGATTTTTGAAAAAGGAGTTTTGAAAAGTTCAGAAGCTTCATTCATGAGAAAAAATTGTCAGTTTGTCAAATCCTAAAATTTTCATTTCAACTTTCGCTTCGAATTTTGTTGAAATTAAGAGGAAAATTCAGGATCTCCACGCTAGAAACTCACTCAAAGCAAGCCAATCGATGAACAGTTCCCACTGTTGCCAGCCCCACCACGGCGATGAGTACGAATATGTGCACATGTTACCAAAATACCGTATTCTAAAATAAAATATGAGAATTTTTTTCAAATTTCAGGTTCACTTTGGGGACTCGTATTGAAATATAAGGCTTTCCATGGGCGGACATCCGCCGCTGAACGAACTGTTCGTCCAGGTGATTTGCGTGAAGCAATTTTGACGCAAGAACATCTAAAAAAATATCTTTTGATTGAAAAAAATGAATCTCTTCTTAGACATGAGATTATTGAATATTTTTTCCAAACGGCTATTTTTTCACAGGCTCATTCTTCAAAGCCCCTTTCGTCATTTTTTGAAAAGTCTTCTTTGTTTTATTTTGAGGATCATTTTTCGCTATTCTTCTCTAATTTTTTGCAAGTTCATACTTTTAGGCTATTTTTTGTTGATCCAGATGTTCTCAGGGCAGTCTATAAAGTCTATTACCTTTCTTCATTTACAAGCCATTTTCCACGGCTCTTTTTTCCAACGTTAAGCGCGCTCTATCGCGAAAATTACCCACATTTATTCCATAAAGAGCGTCGACGGCCGATGCGGCGTACACGGTTTTGCGGCCGGCCTCGTCTACTTCTACGCGAACCTTGCCAGGCACTAATCGGCCCGGCCGCAAAACTTCAATCGAGTCAAAGACGTTGGAAATCTGTAAAACAAAATGTTGATAAAAAAGCAATTTTGTGATAAATATCAAGCTGAACGACCTCTGAAAAATCGATTAAAAAATCGATCAAAAACTAGAAACTTTGAAGAAAATATCACTAATTTTCTGTAAGTAGGACGAACATTTTTTTGAGAAAAAAATCGCTCGATTTCAAAACCTTGAATGAATAAATTTCTTTCTTCATGTAGATAGAATCTCATCAATTGTGACCATGATCTACGTATTTAATTACGAATTTCAATTTTACCCAAGGCGGAAGCCGGCCGAGCACCTGCCGGACACTTTCTTCCGGTTCGAAATCCGGAATCGGCACCAGAACGCCGTTCGCCACGTAGAAGAACATCAAAAGGATAACCGACAGCATTTTTCCTGAAAAATTTGAATTTTTTTAACATTTTTCAAAATGATATAATCATTAAAACAGCAAAAGCAAACATTCAAGTATCAGTTCGAAGCTCTTTGAAAAAATAGAAAACAATGAAATTCGCAATTTCTTGGGCACAATATTTTCGATTTGAAAAAGACTCTCAAAAAGACTTTTAATTTTGCAAATGATTTGAAAAGCCGTGTTTATGTTATTTTCAACATATTTTTTGGATTAATTCTCCATAGAGTTTGGCGATGAAGTCTGCTAAATGCGGAAAAGAAATCTACAAAAAAGTAAGATTTGAAATCGAAAGATACTTTTTAAAAAACTTCTCGACAAACTTTGGAGTTCAAATTTTGAAACACTGGTTCGGGTGAAAGATTGAAGAACAAAGAAGAAAAACAAAGATAAACTGGGGAGCAATGAAACAAAAGGCAAGAGGCCGATACAGTAGAAAAGATGAATGATTGTTGCAAGGAAATTCCTCATTGTCAGCCGTTTTTTTTTTTCCTTTGCTTCTCTCCCTTTTTAGGCTCTATTGGTGGTCCCGCGAGGAAAAAGTGACGTGCAAGAGGTGGAGCTCGCTGGGCGGGCTCAGCGGCTCGGAAAATCGTTCTGAGGCGGGGATTCGATGAGGTTATGGTAATGATTTGAGCAGATTAGGTAGGTTTGGAAGCGATGAATTTTCGAAAAAAAGGTCATAATCGAAGGGAACCGTTTATGATATAACACAAGCTTCCAAAATACTCGGGCAAAGCCGGAATGGGACATAACGGCTGCTAATAGGGAGAGGCTCAAAAAAGGCTTCGAAAAGACAAAAAAAGAGTTCCTTTATCGAGCCTTTCGTCTTCCATTTTTTTTTCCCGGGAATTTAAAGGGTCAAGAAATAGTGGAAATGGGAGAGGCAGCAGAAAGGGTGCATAAGGGCTGATGAAATGGCGCAAAAAGGCAACAAAAAAGGAGCCTTTGTTGCTCTAAAAGGAGCATTTTTATGGAGCTTTTTTCCGCTTTTTCCTACTTTTCTTAAATATACTTACTTACTTACTATTTTAAAGAAAACTTCAAAATGAAGAGCGTATTTGAAAAAGAGAACTTCAAAGCGTTCTCCAAAAGCAGCCTCAATATGTACATTCGTATATTTCTCTTTATATGAACTTTAAAAAATTGATCCTATCAAAACGTGGAAAAACAATCTGATACGTTTTTTTCATGCAACTTTCCAACGCATTTAAATGAAATATTTCTCAATTTATTTCGAAAATCTGATGAATCAGAGAAAGAAAAGGGAACCCGATGGAGTCAACAATCGATTTCAAAATTTAAAGAAACATGAAAAATTTTGGAGTTTTTAAAGGCTAATGTGCTGAACTAATATTCACCAAGGCTGTCGATACTAAAATTTTTTAAAATTATCTGCATTTAATTTGAAAATTCAACGAAAATATCCAACAGACCGCGCTGCAAGGCGAAAAGTTTCGAAATGAAGTGTGAGACGAAATTATTTTCGGAAGTGAATTTTTTAATTCCCCAAAAATTTGAAAAGAATCAAAACATGTTATTCTTTCGATTTCAAATCAGCGAAAGTAGGCATCCGGGACCACACAAATGACGAACTTAGACAATGGAAATAGAAAAGAAGGCGGATTTTAAAGACGGATGAGCCCACCTTTCGAGCCGTTTCCGCCTGCGGATAAAAGCTGCTTTTTGCTGTCCGCTTCGGTCACAAAACATCCATTTCGCGACGTGACGCGTCTTTCCCCGCGCTTCCCACAAAATTATTTTAGGACCTGTTAAGAAATGAAATTCTTCTTATTCCCCGATGCAAAATGAGAAAGAAAACATTCGATGAACTCTTCCAGGAACTATTTTTCTGCACATTCAACGTCAAATCAAGATTAGAATAAAAAGGCGTCATCAATCGGTTTTGGATTTTTCTTTTTTTTATTCTAAAGAATAGTCTGAGCTTCCAGTGAGACATCTGAACGATAGGCGGAACAAGAGCTGCTTTTCCCAACGCTGAATTCGAATCTGAGCTAAAAACTTCAAGAAAAATCTGGGAAAAACGTTATAAAAGTAAAAAATCCTTTTAATTGGGCTTTTTGAAAGTCTCAGTAGTAAAGTGGTGATTTTGAGACTCATTAGGTTCAGAAATCGGAACCTTTCAACATCACTCAACAAAGCTTTATCTTAAGCAAGGTGAGAATGGTGGATAATGGCCGCTAAAAGGTAGAGGCTGTAAAAAGGCAGCAAAATGGGTCCCTTTATTGAGCCTTCCATTTTTTCTGAGATTTTGAAGGCTCAAGGAATGGTGGAAAAAGGAAAAGGCAGCAAAAATGGTGCTCAGAAGCCGATGAAATGTCGCAAAAGGGCAGCAAAAAAGGAGCCTTTGTCACCCTAAAAGGAACATTACTATGGAGCCTTGTCCACCCTTTCCGACTTTGCTTATGATTTTGGAAATTTTCAGGCCTACTATATACAAGGTCGTATTTGAATCCCCAGTAATTTATTTTAATCATGTCAAATAGTTTTCATTATTTATTTATTTTTCAGTACAATCTACCAAGTTAACCTTACTTTCTACCTTCGAAGATCAAAAATCAATTCCCAAAAAAAGCAAAAAGCCCATCTATCAACTTCTTTTGAAACTTCTGAATCACTGCGATACTTGTAAAAGATGATTTGCGCATCCTTGAAACTCTCTCGTCACAAGGCCAAAGTTTGACAAACAGGACGACAAGTAGTCATTGAAAAAACAGGTTCACCAAAATAAATAGTTCTCCGGGTTCTAATTTCACGCGCCATTTTCGTTCGTGATGCTCATCTTTGCGGTTTGTCTGGCTGGAGCTGTGATCCAGCCCGTTTCTTCACAGTTTGTAAGTGTTTTAAGGGTTTTTCGTCGATAAAAGCTTTGATTTTAAGGGGTTTCACAGTTCTTTTCCTCATTCTTTCTACTCTTTGGACGAAGATACGCTGGAAACTCGTTTCCGGAATTTTCAACTGAAAACTTCCCAAGAAATGGTCAACCTCAGAGAGCGCATCGCCAAGTTGGAAAAATTGGTAATTTTTGGGTCTATAAGTTCCTTTTAAAGGACTTCTTCAAGATGAAAACTTGAATTACCATGCCTTGAAGATCCTAAATGATACTAAAATTGTCTTAGTGAAACGCGGTGTTGGTTCTGTTGCGAGGTGGCATTCTAAACCATAGTGGAGAAGTAGTTAAAGGTCGGACGCAATTTTAAACCTAGCAAAATCAAACATTTTTCATCTTGAAAAATCACGCACCTGCCGTTTTGAAAAATTTCTTAACACGGCAAAAATATCGAGTATACAGTATTTCTCAAAATTTTCCGTGTTGCTTCAAGAAAATAATGTTTAAAAACCGACTAATCTTGAAAATTTCGTTTGAAAAAAATTTACTAAGCCATCCTTATCGCCCACTAGTCGTCTCAAAACTATTTCAAAGCCCAAAGTCTCAAATCTTTCCTATATTTCACAAATTTTCAGATCGAAGGTTTAGGAAAAAACAGCCCATTCATCTTGGAATACTACCGACAGCGGGTCGATGTACAAATTGTTCAGTGAGCGAAAAAATTGGGATGATGCTGAGGTTTCAAAAATTTTATTATTGAAAACTCAAAAAAAAATTTAGGCTCACTGCCAATCTCTGGACGCTCATTTAGCTGTAGTTGATAATCAAACCAAAAACGATTTCGTCACAGGTTTTTTTTTTCCAATTTGTATTGAAAGTTTAACGCGATTTCATTTAGGTCTGCTTTCTGAAAGCAGAACATCGGACTTGGCTTGGATCGGGATGAAAACTAAAACCACCAGCATGCCAACATCTTTCACCAATTTCGCTGCAGAAAGCCCAATTGATGGATGCGCAGGTTTTTTTTATTCCAAAAAGGGTAAATAAATTTACCTTTTTAGTAATCGACAAATCCGGCGTCTGGTCGATCCGTTCATGCATACAACTGCGGCCCTTCATTTGTCAAATCGTGAAGGCCTGAATTAAAACAATAATAACTGTAAATTCTATTACAATATTGTACATTCATTTCCCTGAAACTACATTTTTGCCGAATTTTTCTAGTATGTTTATTGTCGTAGGCGTGTGACCGTGAGCACGTCATTTAGTCGTAAACAAAAAAATATTTTTGAACTTTTTTTCTTATTTTTTTGAAAGTCTTTTTCTCGAAATTTATATTCATTTTTTTCATTCATAAACTTTTTATTGGCATGTTATTTGAGAAACTGGAGATATTTTCGACATGAAAATTCAAAAAAAGAAAGGAACTATTCATGGTTATTTTCGCGTTTCAGTGAAAACTCGTTTTGAAAATCGTTCAGTTCCTCTTTTTTGAACTTATTTGCAATTGTTTCAAAATTGTGTTTTTTCTTGAATGTGACATTTAGTTTTTTTCTTCTTCAAGGCTCCATTTTCATAAATTTAGAGAATAAGTTGTTGTTTTTGACATCCTATCTTGTTTCTGTTTTTCATTCAAGTTCGTCTATTTTAAAACTGTACTCTCTAAGAGTGTTCTCAAGTATCATTATTTTCAAAATCGTTGAGAAAAGTACACAGAAATAAAGTGCATCTCGTTGTTTTGGCGCGCCCGGAACATGTTTTGAAATCAAAGATTGTGTCTATTGAGCGCTCTAAAATGCTCTTGTTTCAAGTAATTCTGCTCTATTTCCATTCGTGATAAGTTCTGGCTATTTCGAAATTATGGACAATAAAAAGCGATAAGAAGGCCCTTTTCGTGTTCCATGGACTGAACACTCACAGCAATCAGATTGTTTGCGTGGCCGAGGTCAAAGCGATCTGTCAATAAACTTTCCGTGCGCCGCCCCAGTCACAACTTCAAAATAACTTTTTGCCGTATTTTTCCATTCTCTCTTCGATTTCAGTTTTTGAAAAGATGTCCGTGCCGTCGGTTACGCTGAACGATGGCCACAAAATGCCGCTTCTTGGCCTTGGAACTTGGCAAAGTGAGCCTGGAGAGGTTGGTTAGATGTATTTTATTTCTTAAAGCGTTCTTTTTTAATTTTTTTCTCGATTTTTTATGAACAGAAATGTTTTTTTCGTCGGGAACTTTTTTAGGATATTTTCTGCTCCTTTAAACATTGCAGCTATTGACCTATTGACACGACACAGCTTCGTATTGAAAACAGGAAAATCGATTTTTAACGTTATCTGAAGGCGTTAAAGTTTACAGGGAAATATCGCGAGTGAGTATTTTTTGAGAAAAAATTTCAAAAAGCTCTTTTACGCAACAAATCAAAAACTTTTTGAAGTTTTTTTAGAACCGAAAGAAAAGCTAGTTTTAGTGGCAATCATGGGAATCTGTGCAGAGTTTTTATAGGAGCTTTTAAGATAGTTAAGACATTTTTGCGCAACTTTTATGAGCGTGAAAAAACGAAGATCTACCCAATTCATCAAAAATTGTTCAATTTTTCACTTTTTGAACCCTCTGATTTTCACATTCAGGTGGGTAAGGCTGTAAAAACTGCGCTGGAATTGGGCTATCGGCATATCGATTGCGCCTACGCCTACTTGAATCAAAAAGAAATTGGTGATGTTTTGCAAAAAGTCTTTGCTGAAGGAAAGATCAAGGTATAAAACTAGCAAAGTTTCAAAATACGATGATTAATTTAATAAAGAGAGAAGACGTCTTCATCACCTCCAAAGTTTGGAACACGTTCCATTCCTATGAGAAGGCCAAGGTTTTTCGGAATGCCAAAAATAGATAACTTTTGAAAAATAGGAAAACATCGCCACAATTCTCTCAGAGCTGCAGTTGGACTACATAGATTTGATTTTGATCCACTGGCCTATGGGCTACGCGGAAGGCGCTGAAATATTCCCTAAGGTGATAAAATTTAAACTGCTAAAAAATAATAAATGTTTAGACTGAGGATGGCAAGAAAATGCGCTACTCCGACGTCGATTATTTGGAGACGTGGAAGGCGGCCGAGGAAGCCAAAAAATCAGGAAAGGTTGGTGGAGTCACTTGATTTTCTAAGGTTTTTAAAGGAGTATGGGCGAAATTTTTAAAGGTTCCATGGCGAAAATTTTTCCAGTTATCACTGAAATTCCGATGAAATTTCGGAAACCCTATAGAGACTTTCTGAACAGTTTGAAAGCTGGAATATAAAAATAAGATAGAAAAATAGCCAAAAAGTCGAGAAAATTCAGGATTATTTAAAGAGCATAGACGAGTTTCGTAAAGGTCTAACGGAGAAAATTTTTCTGTTTTTCGACGATTTTGAAAAAAATTTCAAGTCTCTAGAAGGAATTTCAGAACGGATTGAAGGTTGACAACTCAAAAAAAATATTTAGGTCCGATCCATCGGAATTTCCAACTTCAATCATCTTCAAATCGACCGCCTTTTGGATAACTCCACTATCAAGCCAAGTGTGTTGCAGGTATAATCCATCTTGGGCATTTTTTGAAAGTTGAAAAAAACTATTTAGATCGAACTGAGTCCCTATCTGACCCAGAAAAAGATTCGCGATTATTGCGATTCGAAGAACATCTTCATCACTGCTTACAGGTTTGCTTTTCTATATGAAAAACTTCCTGAAGTAAATATTGGCAAAAAAAAAATAGCTTGAAATTTTCGATTTTTCATTTTATTGGAGCTTCCTCATAGGAAAAGTCAGAAAGAGTGGGAAAAGGCTCCATAGAAATGTTCCTTTTAGGTTGACAAAGGCTCCTTTTTTGTTGCCCTTTTGCGACATTTCACCTTTTCCCACCATTTCTTTAGCCTTTAGTTCCAGAAAAAAATAGCTCGATAAAGAGACCCTTTTTGCTGCTTTTGGCCGACTCTGCCCGAGTTTTCCTTTGATTGATGCTAGGAAAAATGAATAATTGAATGTTTTTCAGTCCATTCGGCAACCCGGGATCTTCGATGTTCCGCAAGTCCGGCGATCCTTGCGTTCTCAATGACGAAACGATCAAGAAAATCGCTGAAAAGCATGGAAAGGTAAATTTAATTTTCAGTTTGTTAACGACTGTCTGAAGGGGAATTCTTGAAGGAAAATTAGAAACCAAGGGGTTTTTTTTGAATCTCAGTTTTTTTTTTTGAATTTCTGCCGTAAAGTCTCAATTTCCAAGGCTCCATAAGTCTAAGTTCGAATCCTTGAAACTAGAGAGCACTGGCAAACAAGAGGGCGGTTAGAGAAAACAAGCCCGCCCTCTCATTTTCGAGCGATCTCTAACTTTCGAAGATAAGATTTTAGACTCGCCTTCATGATGCATCTAACACGGAGCTTTAAAAAATTATAAAGGTACCAAAAAAAAAGTTGAAAATTTTCGAGACCAGAAAAAAGACTATGAACTCAACCTGAGACACTGATTTTCTACACTTTGAGAGTCCCTAAGTTTTTTCACAAGCTTCGAGGGTAGCTTTTGAGACCAGATTTGGAGTCAGCGTAAAAAACTACGTCTAGTGAACTAGATCTCATTCAGAAGTCCCACTGTGCGCTCAGAACTTTCCTTAGTAGGATTAAGTCTGGAAAATCTGTGAAAATTTTGATAGGCCACTTTAGGGTTTTGGTCTTTTAATGGCTCTATAGTAGTCGTATTAGTGGTAACTCAAGTGGCTAAAAATTAGTGGCCTCTTCAGGAGTCTCGGTGTTACTACTAGATCGCTGAAAACTATTGCAGTACTGAGTGTAAGACGCAAGATCGTGGCTTCTATAGAGCTGTTTCGAGTGGCCACTTTAGAGTCCTCTCTAAGTGACCTTGAGGAATCTCTTGAGGGGCCACTACAGTTTTTTTTAACTGTTAGTTGTTAAAAAATGAAATTGAGTTTCTGTTCAATACTTAGGGTCCGCAAGCCATTTCTTCAGAACGATTCAAAAAAATATGTTTTTTTACATTGTTCGATAGAGGAGACTGTCCATTTTCATAATCCGTTTAGTTTTTTAAAAAAAGGTCCACTAAGAAAAAAGTTATGGCCAAAAAACGAGCGCGCGCGGCGTACAACTGGAGGCAAAATCTCACGGTTTACCCGCTGCCGCACGCTTTCTTTTAAAATGTTTTTGCGCATTTCTGAACCGTTTTCGAATCGGTTTTCTGTTCTGAGAGGTTGTCCGAACTGAGCTTAACGTTTTGGCATAAATCTTTTTGTACAATCCTCATAAGAATTTTTTTGATAAAATATCAAAAAAACTACTTAGAAAAAAAGGTCAGAAGGAATTTTTCAGCTTATTTTTTTCTTTTTTTCTAATCAGAAAAAAATTATTATCATTCGATTTGAAAAAGAAAAAAATGAAAAAAATAATGTTATTTCGAAATAAAACAGGAAAATGTGTAATTTGACTCCAAAAAACGGCTCCTGCAACATTTAAAAAGGGCGCATCGGTGTGTTTGACGCATACACAGCTACGAATGCTTGCACGAATTCTTCCAAAATTTCAAAAAAAATTGCCATTTTTTCGAGGTTTTCAAAGCCGTTATTTTTTTCGCGTCGTTTGATTTTTTTCATAATTTTTTCATTGATGGAGTTTTTGAACGCTTAATAACATAATCAAAAAAAATATAGACGCGATCCTATTCTCTCATGCGTCAACGAGGCAGACGAAAAAAAGGAGGTTTTGGTAAAATTCAAATATAATTTAATTCGCTGTCCCAATAATTATTTTTCATTCTAAATTTTCATTTTTTTGAACACATTGTGAGTTTTTTTAATCAAATAAAAAGTATACCTTGTCGCTGAAATTTTTTTCGCATTTCAGCTTCAAAGTTTGGTGTCACTTTACAAGCTTCGATTTTTTTCGCGTCGTTAGATTTTTTAAATTTCCACTCAAAAAAATAAAGAAAGTGTTAATAAGTAACATACTCAAAATTTGGAAGCGATCCTCACTTGGTTTTTCTGAAACGCGACGATTTTTGTGAAAACTTGTCAGTTTTTTTCGTGTTAAATCTTACTTTTTTTCGCTTATTTTTTTGAAAAAAACATAGTTTTTTTAAAATATTCAGTCTTGTAGAGCGTTGTCGATTACATAGATTAACAGAAACAGTTCATTTTTAAAGTGGGACTTTAGCTAGTATAAACGCCTCAAAACCGTTTTTGCAACAAAAAAATCGTCATTTTGGTGGCGGGAAGGGGCGGGGCTTTGCGCCCCCTATCAATACTCTTCAAAATTTCAGACGAATGCTCAAATCGTCCTCCGCTGGATCACCCAGCACAACATCATCGCCATTCCAAAGTCCACGTCTGCTGGTTTCTTAAAACTATAATACCTTTAAAAAAAATGATTAATTTTCAGAGAGACTTTCTCAAAACTTTAACGTATTCGACGTCGAGCTCTCCAACGAGGAGATGAACGCCATCGACGGCCTCAACAAAAATTGGCGTCTCGTAGACATCAAGGAACGAGATGGCGACCATCCGCATTTCCCATTCAACGAAGAATATTGATTATTTTGAAACTTTTCACTGTTAATACCATGATTTTGTAATAGCCTGCTATAATTAAATGCTTATATTATTTAGATGAGCTTGAAAAAAATGATGAAATAAAGGTTGAACCAAATATTTTTTTGAGATTGTAGGAAAAAAATAAGGAAGATCAAGAAAGCTCTGAAATTTTTTTAGTCTTCCTGATTTTTAGATGATCAGGGAAATCGAATATTGCCAAAAAGGGCTATTCGTGCCAACTTTGAATTTCGAAAAAGCCTATGCTCCTTTAAGCTCTTCAGCGAGGCTGAAACCTAACTTTCTGTGTCCCTTTGTCCATTATTTTTCAAATACGAAAAAAAGACATTTACAACTTCAGAAAAAAAAGCAAAAATAAATCATCTTTTATTCCATGAGAAAAAACTAAAAAACACAACAAAGCATAACAATTTTTATACAAAAAGTTAACAGATTGTGAAAAAAAAGTTGGAAGACCTGTATTTAGAGTTATACACGTATTTTTCGGGAGATTCAAGAGATTGTGACTTGAAAATCGTTCATGAGCAATAAAGAGGCATATAAATATCGCATGACTTGAGAGAAGACTCGAAATGGCTTTTTGAAAACTCCGATGAGGGTTTTAATAAGGAAATAAATGGTAAAAAATTACTTTTCAAGTATTTTTCGCAGATTTAATAGTGTCCCAGAGGATCGACTCGGTGACTGTGAGAAGTGATGGGGAGAGTGTGTGGATTTTAGTGGCCTTAAGATTCTTTTTTTTAATTTTGGTTGGTTATTTTTTTAAGAATTAACTCTGCCTATATAGAAACTTCGAAACAACCGAATCGATTCAAAAATGTATACAAAGTTGTAATTTTTTTAATAAATTTCTTAATCAAATATTCGAAAATAGGTCAAAAAACGTTCAAAAACTCTACTTCTTCACAAAAAAAGGTTTTTTGAACTAACACCAAAATTTTTGACAACTCCAAGAATTTTCCGAAAACTGTCACTAATATTCGTACTACGTATTTTTTGCTTTATTTGTATAACTTTTCTGGTCAATCAATTATTTTTCCCGTTGAATGAAAAATATTCCCCAAGCGAAAATCTTACCTTTATCTGAACAGGTGTGACAATAGCCTCTTTCTTTTGTTTTTCAGGATTTATATTTTCGGATTTTAGCTTAATCGACGGTTTTTCGGGTAGGCGAAGGGATCCTGAAACATAAATGTATCATTCAGGAAATTTTGAAAGAAAAAATTTTAAACATTGGAAACCTGGTTTATGTCTGCTGGTAGCGATTACGATGGAAATACCGGGATGTCCGTTTCTGCTGAGGCTATTCATGTGTTCATTCATTTCCTAAGAATAAAGTGTGAGAAGACGTTTTTTGTGATTTTATATGAAAGTCAGAATCATTACATGTCTATCGGGAAAGGTCCAAGAACAGCATGCGCAAGTGATCGCATTCGTTAGATCGTGCGTGACAACCATGTGAACGTTTACCGTTTGTTTCTCTGAGGAAGCCTCAATTCAGGTGTTTGCAATCACGTTTGTAAGTAAAAAAAAATACACATAAATTTTTTCTACGATTATCGAAAGTATTTTTCCAAAAGGAAATAATTCTTCAAAATAATCTCGTTTTTTTTGCAATTAAAAGAAACCTGAAATTGCTTTATTGCAGATTTTGCAGAAGTGTTCTTGTTTATGAACGATATCCTGATGTTTGCACAACAAAGGAATACATGTGAAAGTTTTACCACAATCTGGACACCGATACAGTTCTGAAAAATCTTTTCACATGCAAAATGTAATTATAAAAGTCTACCTTTGAGGTTACTGCTATCTTTGACAAGATATCTGGAACTACCTTCGTGGGAAGTCATTTCGGCTTTCTACAAATTTCACTTGATTTATCATTGAATGTAGAAAAATATTCTGGTTTCACGAAAGAAAAAACTTGAGAAATTCCTTAAGTGGTATTGAAAAATATGCGCATATATTGAAGAAAAAGATTTTTTTCATAAAAAAATAGAAAAGCGATCAGGATTATTAGGAAAAAGGATTTAAAATACGTTTATAGTTGATGGGGTTGAGTGAATATTTTTTCAATTTTAAAATAGAAAACTATTGTAAACGCAAAAAAGTTACAATTCCATATATAAAAAATTTACAAAAAATTCAAAACGAAAAACCAGAATTGAAAAAATTTACCATTTGTGATTCAAGGTAAGATCGCTCAATGGCGATGTTTTTCTCGCGCGCGAAGTTGAAAAATTTGAATTAATCTGCACCTCGAAGGTGCGAAAAGTTTTAACTTGTCTTTTTTGAGTAATTGCAATATTTTCTGTACATCTTTCGTTGTGATTATTCATGAAAGTGAACCTCTATTTCCTGCATTTTCCCTACGAATTTTCTTTTCGAGTTGTGGTGTTTTTCTCGACTATTTTTGTTGACTTTTTCTTTGAAGCAAGTTTGAAAACATAAAAAACTTCGAAGAGCTTAATGTGACTATAAAGTCAACAAAGAAAGAACCGATTCATGCTCTGCAAGGTCAGAAGTTTTAGTTATTTTTCGGCCGTTCAATTCTAAAAGCCGATTTTCATTGAAATTATAACAAAAAATCAAATCATAAACTGGAATCGTAAACAAAAAAAGTAACTTCCTCGTTTGGAGTTACCTTTACATCACTTTTGGTGTCAAAGATTCCTTCTATAGCAGCTTTTTATTTCGTTTCACCTTCTTTTTTTCGTTTATGCTAAATAAAAGTTACATTTGTCTTGTTGAGTGTTGTAATGAAAATGATGCAGGGGGTCGAAATTCGTTTATCACCTTGATCATTGAGCTTTTTTATGCATTTACTTCCTCTTTCCTTTCAAATATTCATTCTTCCTTCTGTCTGGTTCTGATGATGCCTTCTTAACTACGTTTTCGAGTTCTGAATGCCTTTACAACGCTATATCTTCTTTTGTTTTGGAATTTCGTTCGAGTTCAAACATCGTTCGCTGTGCACTAGAGCGCTCTTTCTTTCAATACTCGGACTCCCCTTTTTGGCGCGTAAAACCTTAATTCCCAATACTCTTAAAAGTCTTTTTTGTTTGTATTTAGCGATTCGCGTATCGATTCTCTTCAAAATCTTATTTCTGTTGTATATTGTTTCTCTGAGACCCCCAATTTTGAGGAAAGTAACTTGATTGTTCGATATGAAACTAATTTCTTTTTGTTTTAGATGAGACGAAAAATAAGTTATAATTCTTCTCTGAACTTAAAAAAAAGCGCTAATATGTCTTCGAATCGATCTAATTCTTTATAATCTCCTTGTTTGATCTCTTTTTTTATTTTTGATTCTTGAAGAACTTGATAAAGTCATCACACTTAGGCAAAGTCGGAAAGGTTGGAAAAAGGGCTCCATAGAAATGTTCATCTTTGTGTGACGAAGGTTCCTTTTTTGCTGCCTTTTTGCGCGATTTTATCGGCTCTTATGCACCATTTTTGCTGCCTTTTGCTTTTCCACCATTTCGTGAGCCTTTAAAATCCCAGAAAAAGTGAAAAGCTCGATAAAGGACTCGTTTTGGACTCGTTTTGGTGCCTTCCCGCTGCCTTTCTGGGGCCTTTTGTGAGCCTTTCTTTTGAGCCACCATCATCCACCATTCCGACTTTGCCCGAGCATGTTAACTCATGGGTAAAATATCATCTGAGCTGACGAAAAAAAGACATAACAAATTTTTGTTCACTTTTTTGAGAATTCCAGCTGGCTTCTGAATTTTCTTTTCTCATTTTATAATTCTAACCACCTTATTTCTTTGAACTTTTTTTATCCCTCACCCTCAGCGAGTTTCTACCTTCTCTGAATAGAAAAAAACATTAGACAAAGCTTTTAAATGCGCAGCAAGCGTTGTGATATTTTTTTTTTACTTTGCTACAAATTTATTCTCTTGAGGCATGCCGGTCGCCGGAACCAGCATCTCACCTCGCAGAAATCAAAGAAGCAGGGTAATTAAAGCCAAAGTACAAATGAACCCAGCTTGGGAATGCTTTAAAACTTTTCCGAGTGTTCTTTAGAGCGCTCTGAAGCCGAAAAATAATAAATCCAGTTTTTTAAGCCTTATACCCATTCCAGGTAAGCCTTTAAGTGGTCTTTCTCAAGGTTTAAATCCTGTCCAGCCATACCTCGATTCAATAGCAAAATTCGAGAAAACTGTCCTTTATGTATCTGGATTCTTTAGAGACTTTCTCGGAATCGTAACAGAAAAGTTTTTTGGTAGTAAAATCATTGAAACTTGGTTGGGTACTTTAGAAGGGTCTAGTCGTAAAAATTGCGTCTCTCGTTTTTTAGTAGAGTGATGACGCATTTAAGGCTCTAGAAACCATCATTTACTCCACAGAAAATGAAGGTTTCTAACTTTGGACCTTCATAACTCTACTAAAAACTAAAAGACGTTTTGTTCTGATAATCAGGCCGCTCTAAGGCACATTCAAGCTAAGTTTGATCAATTTCTCAAGCTGGGAGTAGTTGTACTTTCCTTGATAGGTGAAAAAGTCCGACTTTAGACACCTGCAATTATAATCGATGAGGAGGAGGAGCCAGAAGTTCCGCAGTCCTCTGGGACATGTAGAGGACAGGGCCGAAGGAAGGTTCAAATTTGCGATGCTCAAGACATTTCGGTTGCCGGACCCAGTGTCTCACCTCGCAGGACTCGGAAAAGCAATGTAATTTCACTTTGAAAATCTTTAAACGAGGGTGAAAAGAGACCCAGCTCGGAAAAAAAAAAAATTAAAATTTGCTGAGAAGTCCTCCAGAGCAACCTAGACACTGCGAAACATGTCGCTTTTTTGACTGATTTTCTAGAAAAAAGCGGGATAAATAAGGAGAGTTGAAAAAGTTTTAAAAATTCCCTGAAAGGACTTTGGACTTGCTGATTCAAAATTTCAATTTTTTTTCTGATAAATTTCACGTTAAGCTTCACTAACACGTGCTTCAAAGAGGTTAATGTTGAGGAAAAATCACCAAATCATGAATTTTCATAATTTATCTGTGATCCGAACTTCCTATAGTACCTCCCAAGAAATTTTGATTAAATTCCAGAGCTGGGTCTATTTTCAACTTCTTTCACGCTGGGTGAAATCCAATTCAAGATAGATTTTAGACACCCATAACCGATGAGGAAGAGAAGAAGCCAGACATTTCAACTAAGGGACAAGGCCGCAAAAAGGTTCAGACATGTCTTTTTGTGAAACTTTGTAACGGCGAATGTTTAAAAAAAAAATCACTAAATCATGTTTTTTTAATAACTGATCTGTTATCCGAAGATCCTGTACTCCATTTCAAGTCCAAACGACCTCAAAAAGACCTTAAAAAGAATAGTCTAAAGCTCCTTTTTGAGTTCCCTAAAATGTGTCAAAAGTTTTTCGGAATCTCCTTTCCTTCAATTTTTCCCCCTTACAAGGGAAGTGTTTTTGGTGGCCGGTTGAACTTTTGTTGAAACTTTGCTGAAAGGTACTATAAGACCTCCTCTTTCCAGAACACAAATAAATTTCTCGCAATAGATCTCGTTTTCGAGTTATGAAGCTTCAAAGTTTGCACGCTGAATAAGTGCTGCAAGGAAAGGGGGAATGTGGCTCGCGTACAATCCCTCCACTCCAGTTGGCAGCGTGGTATAGTGGCTAGCGTCCTTGCCCTGCGGTGTCTCTGACCGGGGTTCGAAACTTTTTGAAGAAATTCGTTTTTGTCAAAACTTTCCTAGGAGGAATTTATCGTCATTGAGGAAATAGACCAAAACTTTCTTTCCAAAAGAACATAGTTTCTCATTTCATTCGTTTTACCAAGACTTTCGACAAACATTTTCCTTCGACCCATGGGCATGATCAATAGATCACTTTCTGCATTTTTTTCTCAAAAATCTAGAGGAGACTTACTCATCTTGCTGTGGCGTAAGTTTTTATTTGATTCCTTCAAATTTATCAACTGGACTGAAACGCTGATTAAAAGGCATTTTGAACTTTTGGGACCAAAAAAATGGACTATTAACCATGTTTATAAGCGGAAGAAAGCTTTTTAATCGGTATATCGAAACAAAATGAAGAAATATGTTGATTCGGAAAAATTTTTTTAATTGATTTTAACAATGTCGATAAATTCCTCCTATGAAAGTTTTGGCAAAAACGAATTTCTTCAAAAAGTTTCGAACCCCGGTCATAAGCACTGCAGTGCAAGGACGCTAGCCACTATACCACGCTGCCAACTGGAGTAGAGGGATTTTACGCGAGCCACATTCCCTCTTGCTTTGCAGCACTTATTCAGCGTGCAAACTTTGAAGCTTCATAACTCGAAAACGAGATCTATTGCGAGAAATTTTATTCGTGTTCTGGAAAGAGGAGGTCTTATAGTACCTTTCAGCAAAGTTTCAACAAAAGTTCAACCGGCCACCAAAAACACTTCCCTTGTTAGAAGGACCTTATCAGAAAAATAATCAAGAAA